TAAGATAGTAATTTTGAATAAATTGTATCTTAACCTAAATTGTTTCAGAAAACAGAAAGACCAACAGCTCACACTTTGCGAGGTTAGTGTAGCATAATTCCAAAACCACATAAACCCACTGCACTTATAAACAGGTGCAAATTTTCTAAATAAAATATTAGGTAATCAAATCTGGAAGTTCACTACAAAAAGAATACTTAAAGAGGCAGTCATCCCAGAAATGTAATATGATGGTTCAGCAACAGAAAATCTATTAACGTAATTGTAATTCACCAAATTAATATACTAAAGAAGAAAACTTTCACAACTTTTTTCAATCAATATGGCTAAAGCATTTGATCAAGTTCTACATATTTATATTTTAAAAACACAAAGTCTTAGCAAACTGTAGGGAATCTCCTTAACTTTATAAGATGAAATACCAAAACTACAAACTTTAAATCAAATGAAGAAACTTCAGGTGCATTCTCTTTTAAGATTAGGAACAAAACAAGGATGCCCTCTATCACAGTTCCTATTTAATACAGTACTGGAGGTCCTTGCCAATGCTGGAAAGAAGGAAATAAGAGGTGCAAGAATTGGAAGGGAAAAGATAAAGCTGTTATTGTTTACAGATGATACAATTATCTGCCTGGGGGGGAAAAATACAGTATTATAGTAAGAGCATTCAGCAGGATTGCAATATTTAATACAAACAGTTCCTTAACTGCTAACCAAAAGGTCTGCAGTTTGAGTTAACCCAGAGGTCCCTCGGAAGAAAAGCCTGGCAATCCACTTTCAAAAAAGCTATCATAGAAAACCCCTCGTACAGTTCTACCATGATACACATAGGTTCATCATGAGTCTCAATCAACTTAATAGCAACTGGTGTTGGTAGTAGCAGTATCTAAGATTAATTGACTAGTTGAATAAATAAACAAATATAGCACACATCTATGCCAGAAGTAATCAATTAAGAAATATAATTAAAAATAAGATACCATCACAATATCAAAGAGGCACTAAAGTTTCTAGAAGTTAATTTAACTAGGGAAACAAGACTTCTATGGGGAAAAATATGCAATCTAATAAAGAACTCAAAATAACAAGAATAAATAGAATTTCTTTATATTTTTGGAAGGAAAGATTTAAAAAGTAACATTTCCCCCCAACTATTTTACATATTTAATGTAATCACAATAAAAAATTTTCAAAACTTCAAAAATTTAAGTTTAAGACCCAGGAGACATCAAGGCCAAGTGGTCGGGTCCCCTCAGAGCAAACCCCCTTCCAAGACTAAGACTCAATGGAAATACACACTCTGATTGGTGATTACGTTCGTCACCAATAAGTGAAAGTGAGGGAAAAACAGCAATGAAGCTGCAAGCTAAGCCCTACAACGTTCAAAAGACTCCTGTGAACCTAGGTGGAGGCCTGGTTGACCAACAGTGTGGCAAGACCTGGGGACTCTTGGGCCAAGAGTCAGTGACATAGCCACAGAGGACTAGAGTGGAGAGTGAAGCGTCCAACTGATAAGAAGAGAGGGCATATACACAAGAATACCCACACTTGTAGAATAATACCCACTTGACCTGGCTTCGATGACCGGATGATCAGAGCTCAACTAGAAGAAGAAAGAAGAGGAAAAAAAGAGTAATCTGATACAATTTGATGAACTTGACCTACACCTATGGATGCAGTAGCTCAAAAGAGGGAACATATCTTTACAGCAAGGATCATTCCCACCCCCTCCATGCAGAGTAGACAGGGATGGGACATTGGTTACCCAAAATGGGGGGAGCTACAAAGACTCCATAGCACATAACAACAACAACAACAACAAAGACAAGAAGTGACTGGCTTACAAGCTTTCAAGAGGGAACCTAGATCCAGAGGGCGTGGACAAAGGTAGAATCTCCACTGAGTAGTATCCAATCTGTCTAGGCAGGGCTGATGAAAGGAAATGTGGATAGGTCTCTTGTGATACAATAGTGAATACTTGTTATCAGGTTGGAAACCTAAAGGTAGATGTTTTATAGCAAAGACGGGAGTGATTAACTTTGCAGTCTAGGAGCAGAGGTCCCTGGGACCATCAACGGAGAAAGGTGGAGAGCGGGACCCTACCCAGAGAAGTAGTGATGCCTGAGATGGAGGCAGAGACGATGACGTGGAAAGATGGAGCAGCTGGGGACTTTAGACCCAGAGAGGGAGAGGGACTGTGTGCTGACGACCGGGGGGCAGGCTTGTAGTATATACCCTTTGGTTGGTTGATGATTCATGAAGGGGGATTGTAATCATGGCAATGAAACGATATACGATAGGATGAATGTAAAACTAATGTTCTCCCATGTAAACTATCACATAATTCACAACAAAACATTTAAAAAAAATTTAAGTGCAAGAACAAATAGCTAAATCACTTTTCAAAGAGAACTTGCCCTATCAAATACTGAGATACAGTAAAGACAAAGCTATAACAAAAATGCGGTAGTGTTGGCACAAGATCAGACAATTTAGACTAATGGAATATATCAGAAATGCAGAGACAAAGCCATGTGCATAAGAAAACTTAGTATATGATACAGCTGGCATGAGAAATCAAAGTGCAAAGATAAGACTGTTTGGTAAACAGTATTGAGAATCACCGAGAAAAATATAGCTGGATCCCTCTACCAGACATCACATAAAAGGTGGTCTGTAATGAAATAACAACCTATTATGTCAAGGACAAAATTATAAAGCTAACAGAAAAGATTCATAAAAGAGTATCTGTGTGACTTAGGTGCAGAAAAATAATTTTTCAGTAAGAAAATTCAAACTACGCAACATAAAGTTGATAAATTAATGACTCTATAGGGCAGAGTTGATCTGCCCCACAGGGTTTCCAAGGCTGTAAGTCTTTGTATCTTTCTCCTGCAGAGTAGCTGGTGGATTCACATTGCCAAGCTTCTGGTTAGCAACTGAGTGTTTGACAGTGCTACCAGGGCCTATAAGGGGCTCTGGTAGCATAGTGGTTATGAATTGGGCTGCTAATATCAAGGTCAGCAGTTTGAGACTACCAGCTGTTCTGCAGGAGAAAAATGAGGTTTCTGCTCCCGTAAAGATTTACAGCCTCAGAAACCCTGTGCAGGGTCACTATGAGTCAGAACCAACTCCACAGCACACCACCACCACCACCAGGGCCTATAGTAAATGCAAATTGAATAATGAAATACCACTTCACATTACTTAACTGGCAAAAATTTAGAAGGCTGAGCAATTTGAATGCTGGCAGCAATCTTCCCAGTATTTGGTTATATTAGGTTATATGCAGTCTCTATTTTCTTAGGGGGCAGAAACAAAGATGTTCTGTGGTGGTAGAAAAAAGGCAATCTGGATGTCCAGATAAGTATCCTGTCAATTGGGATAAATATAATGAAGTGGATCTAGATAGAAAATGGAGCAGCTAAAATTAAAAAAAGATTCTGGATAAAGTGGAAGAAAAATGTGGAACAGGATTGAAGGTCATAAAAAAGACAAAACCTACTGTTTGGATAGACTGGCAGAACCTTGAGACTAAAACGCTTGATCGCCCTTTGGGTCTGGAAACTGAACTTTCCCCCGTGGCTCAATTTTCGGCCAAATAATAGACAGATCTTTAAGGGGAATAATAATGCTAGTTATTTATCATCAAAGGGCAGCATTTACTCAAGGATAAAATTCAAAGGAGTTAGGAAAGGAAGAGGAATGAGAATAGGAAACACAAGGAGGAAGTGGGATAAATGATGTTACATTGAGGGGAGTGCAATCAATGACATGAAACAAAATGTGTGTGAATTGTCGAATGTAAAACTAATCATCTGCTCTATAAACTTTCATTGAATTCACAGTACAAAGTTTGGAAAAAAAAAAAGACAGTTGGTATCATTTATATGAACTAAGAAACATGCACATAAAACAATACCATGGGCCCATATTTTGTTTTTTGTGCTGTGGTGGATGGTATTCAGTACAAGACTGGACTGGGACAAAATAAAAAGGAGTCTCAACCCAATGCAGCAAAACTAGCTCTAGATGAACTTCTCCAATTGGATGAACCTGAACCAGGCATTTCAGAAGCATCAGATCCTCCTCCTATCCCTGCAGAACCTGTTATTACACCTGAACCAGCATACATTTCAAAAGTATATTATGATTCCTAGAAGAGGAATTACTGGGTCAAAGCATATGAACCTGTTCTCCATTGTTTAAAAACTTTTGGTACTTACTGCTAAATTGCCTTCTGCTTAGAGTTTTACCATATAAACTATTTCCATCACTTGCGAGAATTGCCTCTTTTATTGTACCCTTGCCAGCTTTTTGTAATTAATAATAATCTGTGCTAAGTTTCTTATAGGGGATAAATAAGATTTTGTTTTTAAAGCTTGAATTTTTAAATATTTATTAATGCTTTACTGTACTCAATGAATGTATAGTTCTTATTGACTTTTACTACTAGTCTTGAATAAAATGTGCAGCAATTGGTGCAAAAAAACAATAATACCAATCATTATAAGCTATCCCAACAATAAAGGATCTATATAAACTAGAATGGCTTCCTATAGCAGGAAAGGAAAGGAAGATAAGAGGAAATAAATTAATATGTGAATAGCTTTGTATGGAACAATGATGATAATATGGAAAGAATGAAGAAAATTACTAATTCAATGCTAAGATTCAAAAAGTGTTGCTTTTGTTCAGTGACATTGAGTCAACTCTGACTCATAGCAACCCTCTATAGGGTTTCCAAGGAATAACTGGTGGATCTGAACTGCCAACCTTACGGTTCAAACGGACACTGCAGTTGAGCACTTATCCTATAGAGCCAAACCAGAAATCCTTAATATTATGGAGCTGCTGGTGGTTTGAACTACTGACCTAAGATACAAAATCTAGTCCTTCTAAAAGAAAAAAATCTGATCCAAGGAGGTTCTCAATCATAGCCATGCCATCCGACCAGGCTGACACCCAAACATAGGAAACAGTGGAAATGAGATCAGTACCTGAGTCTCCAGGATGCCAACAGTCGTGGCCTGCATGTTCCTGGCTGCCAACAGCTGCTGTCTGGTATCCTCCAAATTCTGCTCAGCAACTGTTTTCTGTAAGTTGAAGGAAGAGTAAAGGAAAACAGTCATTTCTCCAATGAATATGTATTTACTACCATTTGAGTTAGGTACAAGGGATATGTTGTTGTTGTTGTTAAGTGCCGTCGAGTCGGTTCCGACCCATAGAGACCCTGTACAGGGTTTTCGAGGGTGTAAATCTTTACAGGAGTAGAAAGCCTCATCTTTCTCCCGTGGAACGGCTGGTAGTTTCGAACCGCTGACCTTAAGGTTCGCAGCCCGATTCGTAACCACTACGCTACCAGAGCTCCTTACAAGGGATATACACATACACAAATTATTGAGACAGAATTCATACATCATAAAGTATACACAAATAAATTTGACATAATTCCTTGCCTTAAGACTGGGACAAAAGACTACAATCAAAAAAGTATTAAGATAGAATGCAATTTAGTGCCCTAAAATGGAAGCACAGAGTTGTAGACACTCATTGACTTATAGGAAGTGAGAGGCTTCATAATTCCCAGGTGGCTAGAGAGTGGGGCAGCATCCCAGGCAGGAGGTGCAGCAAAACTGATGGAAAGGAAATGTGAAACAGCCTGATGCCTTCAGGCAACTACAAGTAGCTAAAAGTCAAAGAGATGGTGGGTTTCTGTCAAGAACCAGACTAGAAATTTGGGCAAAAGGCCATCATGGAGGGTCTTTATGCTTCAAAAGGAGTTCAAACTTCATTCTGTAGAGAATACTTTTCTAAACACTGGCACTATACTAACTTTGCAGGAGGTTATGCTTTGGGCTGCTTGCTAACCACAAGGCTGGTGGTTCAAACCCACCAGTTGCTCTGTGGGAAAAAGATGAAGGTGTTTGCTCTTAAAAAGATTTTCAAGTCTTGAAACCCTATGTAGCAGTTCTACTTGTCCTTTAGGGTAGCTATAAATTGAAATCAACTCAATGGCAGTGGGATTAGATATTGTTAAATTTAAGGCTTTAGTCTAGGCCTACCAAAATCAGACTTTCTCGGGGAAGGGCCAGAGATACACACAAATTCCCCAAGTAATTCTTATGTACACTAAATTTAGAGAAGCACTGCTATAATAATGGTGATGTCATTACAACAATGTAATATTAATGTTGTTACTATTGTTAAGTGCCACAGGTTCCTACTTATAGTGACCCTGCATAGGATTTCCAATGAGCAGCTGGTGGGTCTGAACTGCCAACCTTGTGGTTCAAACAGACATTGCAGTTGAGTACTTATCCTTCAGAGCCACACCAGGACTCCATAATATTAATAGCTAACATATATTGATTCCTTACTATAGTCAAAGCATCCTTCTAAACGTTTCACATACTGTGAATTCTGTTTTTGTTTTAGGACTGTGTTACAGAGTAGAACCTCTCTCTAGGGTTTTCTTGGTTGTAATCTTTACAGAAATACATCACCAACCCTACTTCTTCCATGGTACTGCTTGGTGCATTTGAATCGTCAATTTTTTGGTTACCAACCAAGTGCAAATCACTTGCACCAACCAGAGATCTTTAGCACTTTACATATTATAACTTATTATTGTTAACCCTGCTTTACAAATGAGAAACAAATACAAAGAAATTGTTTCTAGAAATCAATTTATACTCCAGAAGCCACATCTTACTCACTGTAGTTGGAATGGAAATTGTGGAGGATGTCTGAGGAAGTGATGTAGCAGAAATGCTGTGTAGGAAGCTTAGTTTGACAGTGAGCGTTGCAGACTGTGTTAGAGGGCAAAGAAGAAGAGCCTGCTGCTGGTAGGTCAGTTTGGAGACTGTTAATATGCAGGCCTTCAAAAAGTTCGTGGGAAAATTCCATTAAACTCCATCTTTTAAACTATTTCTATGACCTTTTTGAAGCCCCATCATGCAGACTAAGCTAGAGTTGCCGGAAGCTCTGATGTACCGCAGTAGCAGCAGGTATGGAGAATGTTCATAGAAACTAACTGAGAATGGAAAATGAGTGTATCATCTAGGATAACCCCCAAGGTTTTACCCTGGTCCCCTTTGGCATGGTGATACCATTAATTAGGATACAAAGAGGAAAAGCAGAATGTAGGAGGGTGAACTCAGACATAATAAAAGGCAAGTTTGTTCAACAGTTTCCTTCAGTCCAAGACAATTCTGACTCAAGCCAAAGAGCCAAATAGAGAGTGCAAAGGGTGGAGAATGGGGATAGTGTGATTAGAATGCTATCTGTTCCTACACATCTCTGAACAAAGCTCTCTCTTCCCTGAAGAAAACTGAGCAGTACACATAGGGGACACCAGACTATTTTTGTTGTAAGCAAAACAATTCCAAGTTGGAGAGAATCCTCTCCCCACTACGCTGTTTTCTGGCTCTCTGACTCTAAAACCCTAGGCTTTTATGAAATCCTAAGTGTCACCACTGTCTTTCCACACTGGTGGTACAAAGAAAGGTAAAATGACCTCTTTCAGAAGTTCTTGCACATGTTCTTCCCCTGATAAGTTCTGTTCCAGTATTTTCTCTAAGGATGCGACCTTCTCCTGTAAGTGTGTGATAAGTTTTTCTTTGTGTTCAGCTTCAGCAGTGACCTATAGGGGAAAGTGGAGAAAATCAGATTAGACTATAAGGCCTCTCTTCTCCCCTCCCTGTCTCCTCTGGGCCCATCATGTTTCCCTGAGATTGTTCTCAACTGTATTTTATAAGAACGTAAAAGATGCAAGATTAGAAACCAGCAACCTTCAGAAATCTAGTTCAGACCCAGTACCTACCCATTGCCAATGAGTTGGTTCTGTCTCAAAGCAACCATATAGGACAGAATAGAATGGCTCCACAGGATTTCTAAGACAATCTTTGCAGGAGCAGACAGCCTCATCTTTCTACCATGGAATGGCTGAGCCGCCAACTTTGAAGTTAGTAGTCCAATGCTTAACCCACTACACCACCAGCACTCCTTAGACTAGTGTTGTTGTTGTTGTTAAGTGCCGTTGCATCAATTTCAACCCATAGAGACCCTGGTTAGGGTTTCTAGCAAGAGGCAAATGCTCTTCCCAACTTAAGAGGCTTGCCTGCTAGAAAAGACTTAAGATTTGAAGTCAGAATTAGATTTGCATCTATTATTACTCTGGTCTATCATTTTGTTAAAAGCCATTGAGTCAGTTCCAACTCATAGTGACCCCATATAAAATTTCTGAGGAGCAGCTGGTGGGTTTGAACCAACAACCTTGTGGTTAGCAACCCAGTGCTTATCCTATAGTGCCACACCAGGAGCCCAGTCTATTACTAACTCTCCCTAATTCTTTTTACTGGGTTTTCCCTCCTTTACTTGACATTTAAAATCTGAAGGAGTAATTCTAAGTCTCCCCACCTCTTCTTTCTCTGTAGTCTATCCGTTCTCATCCCTGGCTTCCATTACCATAAGCGTATGTTGTTGCTGCTAAGTGCCGCCCGTTGAGTTGCTTCCGACTTGTAGCAACACTGTATATGCTTTCTGGTGACCTTAAAACCCCAAACTTGAGGTTCAAACCAACCTTGTGGTCCAGTGCTTATCCTACAGCACCACACCAGGACTTCCATAAGCATATGTTGTTATTAAGTGCCATGGAGTTGGTTTCAATTCATAGTGACCCAGTATAGGGTTTCCAAGGAGCAGTTGATGAGTTCAAACCATTTACCTTATGGTTCAAATTGACCTTGCAGTCCAGTACTTATCCTACAGAGCCATAGCACCATATACTGACTCTAAAATCTGAGACACTCCAAGCCTCTCCACAGTATTCCATACTCTATATCCATGGCCTGCTGCCTATGCTCACTGGGATGTATTAAAACTCAAATTCAACATGGCCAAAAAGAACTGGGGCTTCTAGGCTCAGCAGTACAGCAGGCTGGTGTTGCTGTTGTTAAGTGCTGTCGAGTCGGTTCTGACTCTTAGCGACCCTGCGCAGCGTTTCCAAGACTGTAAATCTTTACGGGAGCAGAAAACCTCATCTTTCTCCCGTGGAAGAGCTGGTAGTTTCGAACTACCAACCTTGCTGTTCACAGCTTGATTCGTAACCACTATGATACCAGAGCTCCTTACAGCAGACTAAGGTACCCTTTTCAAAGATTTTTTTTTTCCTGCATTTTTGTTACTTTGAACAAAAGGGTGATTTAGGGTACAGCAGACTAAGGTACTCTAAATAACCCTTTTGTTCAAAGTAACAAAAATGCAGAAAAAAATCTTTGAAAATACCTTTTTAAACATACTGGTAAACTGGTGGAAATGCTGGGAAAGATAAATCTAAAAAGACAGAGGGAAGATTATTGGTTGGTAGCGGTTGGGAGTGGAGATTGACTGGACGGGGCACAGAAAAACAATTTTGGGTGATGAAAATTTTCTATACCTTGATTGTGGTAGTAGTGGTTTCATAGGTGCATTGTCATTAAAGTTTAACATATTAAACATAAGAAATGTATGCATTTTGTTATATGTAAATCATACCTCACAAAATTAGTTTAAAAAAACATAATAGAACTTCTTTGAACTGATACAAAATCTACAGAAAAGATTTGTTGGTAAAACATTGAAGTTTAAGAATAAAACAACGTTGTCCTGCCTTTATAAATTATGGTCAATGTTATATCTGATATCTTATCTAGCAGAATAAAGCAAGGGAAAAAAAAAGGGACAATTATAAAGAAGACAAGACGGCAAGTTTGACAGATGAACTACATGGACCCTCTGCAACAACGGGGTTATAAGATATCAAATGAAACAGGCACAAATGAAAATTCTGATACCCTGAGCTTCAGGGAAGGGGTTAGAGAGGTGGAAGGAATGCTTGCTGTGAGGGGAGGTCAAGTAGGGACGGTGAGGGAGGGAGATCAGCTGGTGACAGCTAGCTAGATGCAACTCCACCATCTTGTTTGCAGCTTTGGCAGTCAAAGGCAGCCTTGCAGAGTGGATTCATGTGAGTGATGAGAAAGGTGCAATTTCTTCATTTTCTCCACACTCCCCTGGTGACCAGAGGTATGGCCAGCTCCCACCCTTGTCCACCCCCAACACAAAACTCACTCTCCTGGAGTTTGGAGCCAAGTGGTTGGGAGCCACCCCAGTGTGAATTGGGAAGTAATTGTGCTGCTTTGGTGCTTGAGTTCAGGTGGGCTTGGTTCCAAACCTACAAAACCTGCAGACCCACCAGACCAGCATGCTCCCAGCTTCCTTGTGGTCCTAACAGACACTGAAACCAGCTACATCAAGGGACCCCATGAACTACTTCTGAATTGAGTACCCGGAACATAAATAACACCAAAGCCTATAGGAACTCCATCTGGAGTCAGGAACCATGATGTCACATCCCTTCCATGACTACCTCGTGACTTGTTTGACTTGCAGGAGTCCACCAAAGATTTCTCTCTTCCGGGTCCAACAATTGCACTGATTGTTTTTACAAATGTGACAGTCCTAAGGTGCCCTGGAGACAACACACAATTTTAACTCAAACAAAGAAACAAAAGAGAATGGCTCAAACAAGTGATCAAGATGCAGAGAAAACATTTCTGAAGGGAAAAAAGGTAATGGAACTGAATAAGAATTCAAAAGACTATTTTGGTACGTTCAATGGATTAACAGAAAGATCAAGGAAGGCAAAGAGAACACAATTAAGAACTTTAGAATTCAGGAGCATGCTATAGGAACAAACAGACAAAACAGATGCAAATTTTGAAAGGATACAAGACCTGTAATTGGAAACCCAGGAGATTACTGCTAAGATCTCAGAAATGGACAACACATCAAAAGGACAAAGGAGAAGAATCAAATCAATGGAAGCACAAATTAATGAACTTGAAGATAAATCTCTCAATACTAGTATGCTAGAAAAACAATCAGAAAGAGGGCTGAAGAAAGCCTAAAAGTTATATGGGACACCATGAAGAGGAACAACTTATAGATGACTGGAATTCCAGAGCAGGAAGATAAAATAAAAAGCAGAGAGAAAATTACAGAAGAGTTGCTGAAAGAGAACTTTCCTAACATCATGAAAGATGAGAAGATAAGGCATATATGAAGTGGAACGAATCCTAAACAGGACAGAACCCCAAAGAAATCACCGAGATATATCAAAATCAAACCATCCAAAATCAGAGTCAAGGAGAGAATCCTGAGAGCTGCTCAGGAAAAACAAAAAGTTATCTGCAAAGGAGAACCAGTAAGATTAAGTTCTGGTTTCTCAGCAGAAACCATTCAAGCAAGAGGACAGTGGGATGACATATGCAAAACTCTGAAAGAGGAGAGCTGCCAACTAAGAATCATATACCCAGCAAAGCTGTCCTTCAAATGTGAGGGTGAAACTGGGACATTTCCTAAGCAGAAAATAAGGGAATTGGTAATGACCAGACCAACTTTACAAAAAGTGCTGGGTGTTGTTCTTTGGGCTGAGAACCAACAATCGCGGACAACAACCCGAGATTATCATGCATGACACAACATCACCCAGAACTCAGTACAGATATAGAGGTATTTAGGATGGGGCAAACCTACAGGACTGAAGATAGAGAACCAATGTATCAATGTGTAATGAAGTCAACTACAAAGTAAAAAGACGGAATGGTATAGATACAGAACTTCCAAATGGTGGGGAAGTCAAGTAGATTTCAAGATAAAACAGACTGCTTTAAGCAGGGAAAAAAATTAATGAATTATAGGATAACTTCAAAGAAAAATAATATACCTGCACATCAAAATAAAAAAAAGAAGAAAATCAGATAGATTTAGTAAACATTAACACAATAGAAATGAAAATGAAAAGAAAGACCACAAATAAAATGAACTCAGCATGAAAAATTATGTGGAATGAAGAATCCAGCAGCTGCACAAAAAAACACACAGAAAAATGACAGCAATCAATTCATACCTATTGATAAGTACACTGAATGTACATGGACTAAATGCACCAATCAAGAGACATAAAGAGCAGAATGGGTAAGAAAACAGGATCCTTCAATATGCTGTCTACAAGAGACAGATCACAAAGAAAGAAAACAGCCTACATGTCCATCAAAAGGAGAATGACTCAACAAATTTTGGTATATATACAAAATAGAATTGTAGGAGACCGCAATCACTGAGGTGTTGAGGGCCTGTGTCATGGACGAAAATCCTACAAGATGGCTCCACTCAGGCTTGCTAGCCAGGGACCCTGAGGGCTCAAGGAAGTAACCTCCTGACCTCCCAGGTTCATTGGCTTTTACGAACTCACTGTTGGGCTAGCTCTGTATAATTTTCTTTGGTCTTATTCATTCTATGCTTCGAACTCCAGTAATTGTAGCTTCTGAGAAAATGGTTTCTTATGTGCCTCTCTTAATGTCTCCACTGTGTTGGCAGTGCTTAAGGTTCTAGGAACAAATCTCTCTGAGGAACAAACTCTGGCCACCTGGCAAACATAACAAAACTGTTCTTTATCAGATTTTTCAGTTATGTTTGATATTAACTTAATACATGAGCCCTTGATACCCATGGACAAACATTAAAACAAAAACCTCTTCTAAAGCCGAGGCCTAAAAGTTCCTAGGGCTAGTTTGCTGGGAGATGCTGGAGAAAATATTCCCC